GTATCACCCAAAATCAGTATGTCCGTCCCATTCTGGTGGCCCAAAAGAAATACACCCAGCCAGCAGAAGTGATCTCATTGCCAAGCTGCTCTCCTGGAACTGGGAACAACCCATTAAGGCCCAGAATTCCCCGTAGTTAAAAGTTATGGAGATTCTTGGGCATCTGGTTGACCCCACACATGGGATTGAGGGTCAAAGGATATCTCAAAGGGAAAAAGTTCACAGAGGCAAGGGTCTACACAGGTCCTACACTACGCTCAGGGTACTCTGCCCAGATGGCATTGCAAGCCCCGGGCAGTCCATGGACGAATTGTGACTTAGAATTTTAAGGAAGGTACTCCAAAGCATGGAGCCCCATGAGATATGGAGCCCCATGAGATATGGAGCCCTGAGCACAAGTCTTTCTTGCCTCAGCCAGGGCAGAACTGTCCCATTGTGTACACTCTAAGTGTCTGTTTTTCATCATCTTCTTCTTGAACTGGTTTGGTGGTTAATTCCTTTCAGGTGAAAGAGTCATAAAAATACACAAATAACATTAATTAAGTACTGAGAGTTTCTCAAGAGGATGCTGCAGTTTTTGGCTCCGGTTCTCACATTCTAATATTTCTCTTCCTCTCTATGTCTCTGATGCTATTACTGCTGGAAATTCTTGCACTCTGTCCCTTTATCCCCACTCTCTCACCCCAAAACAGGAAAGATCTCATTTCATCAGCTGTTCATTGTTTGATATGGACATGTTTCCGTCACACATAGCTAATGTAGTAGGATAACCAAAAAACCCAAACTCACTGCCATCGAGTCGATTCCAACTCCTAGTGACCCCCTTTGGGTTTCCAAGGCAGTAAATCTTTATGTAAGCAGATTGCCCAGTCTTCCTTCCACGGAGTGGCTAGTGGGTTTGGACCACCAGCCTTCTGGTTAGCAGTCAAATGCCTTCTCCCTAAAAGCCCATCACCACTTCTCTAAAGGGAAACTGAGACCCTGGCAGGCACTATGAGACTTCATATTTGTCCAATGAAAAACTCTGATACATCTTATCAGAATGTCTTCCAAAAGGACAGTTCCTGTTTACCTTGCTTCCAGGAACGTATGAGTACCGTTCTTAGTTTATTTGCCAGCAGTGAAGAATCCATTCTTAGAAATGACCAGGTGATAGGAGAGATAAAAATGGAAAGCATTGTTCAAATGCACATGTGCCATTTATTAGTAGTAATATCGACCATGTTACTATATATTTTGTTAATCAATTTTCTTTTGGGTGAATTATTTGTTTTGGTCCTTTATTCAGTTTTCTATTTAGAACTTAGTGTTCTAAAAATGAGTTTGTGTGAATTCACCATAATTTAAAGACTTTGGCCAATTGTTTGCATATTTACTGTGAATATCATACTCACTCTTTCTTCCTTCCTTTCTTTTTTACTTTCTTTTAAACTGGATATATTTTTTGGTGAACAGAATTTTAGAATTTTTCATATAACTTAAAGTTATTAATATTCTTCTTGTAATCTGTACCACCCTGTGGTGGTTAAGTTCGTGTGTCAACTTGGCTGGGCTGGTTGAGTGGCTGGATTGTTGTTGTTGTTGTTGTTATGTGCCGTCAAGTCGGCCCCGACTCATAGCGACCCCTCCCTGGGTTTCCGAGGCAGTATCACTACGGAAGTAGGATTGCCCAACCTGTATGTAGTTATTCCCCATGGTGAGATTGATAATCAACTCCATGGTGGAATCTACTGGATCAGCTGAGTAGATGCTTTGGGGATGTGGCTGCTTCCCGTATATAAGAAACAGCTTGGGCATGGTGTCCAGTTTATGGCACGCTTGAACCCTGCATGTAGCTGTGTCATTGTTCACCAGCTTGCCATGCTCTGCTGACCTTGGGACTTGCAATGTACTTGAATTAATGGCCTGCCGTGTGGTTTGTAACATCGGGACTGTGCCATTTTATTTGTCAACCTTGGGCTTGTTAGCTTCAGCAGCCAGTACTTGCCTGAGTGAAGAGATGCCTCTAGCTTCAGTGGGCTGGGATTAAGAGGCAGAGCTGAAGCCCAAGGTCGAGGGGCTTTCACACAGCCCCTAGAGCCTGGCACTTTGAACTTGGACTTAACGCCTCCAAACTGAGAGAATAAACTCCTGTTTGTTAAGGCCATCCCATTTGTGATACATTCTTGTCAGAGTGGCACTAGGTAACCAGAACACATTCCTTTGACTCTTAGAAAGCATTCCTCTTCTCTTTCATAGATTTTCTAAGCATTCATTTCAAATTTCTACTAGTTTTAATGTGGTCTGGTGGTATAGTGGCTAAGGGATTTGACTGCTAATAAGAAAGTTGGTGGCTCAAACCCACCAGCTGCTCTGCAGAAGGAAGTTGACACAATCTACTTCCACAAAGATTTACCACCTCGGAAACCCAATGGGGGTTGCTATGAGTTGTCATTGACTCAATGGCAGTGAGTTTGGTTTCTTTGTATTTAAAATATTTGTTTTGTAAATAAGTTGATTAAATAAATCTGGAAGCATTTTTGTGGACATAATGGAATAAAAATATAAATTAACTTTACTGTTACTATTAAACTTTACTTTTGGTGAAAATCTTCACTCCCATTGCACGGTTTCTAGACATAATGATAAATGATATTGGTCACACTCTTCACATTGTGTCAACGTTCTTGTTATTTCACAACAATATTTTTAACAAGTAATTTACTATTTCTTTCATTTGCATGACTTTATTGAAAAATTCTATTTATTTGTGAGATCACCTTTTTTCTATTGTATATTTTTATACAAGATAGAGTTTTTATCTCAATCTTCCACTTTACAAAAAATAGTCAAAATTGGGTTAATATACCAAAGCAAAAAGGAGACATTTCTTATTCAATTAATTTTAATAAGTTCAAACCCTTCATAATATATATTTTTTTCTTTGTCTAAAGTGTTTTCCTAATTTATAATTGCATTTCACATTTTCTTTTTGCTTTTTAAAAGAGAACATTTTAGTTATTTCAATATATAAACTGTACACAAAAAAATGACATCAGTGTAAATTTATTTCATAATCAACAAAACATTTTTTAAAAAATTACAACCAAAAACTATCCAGTTTTTGCTTTAATTTCACATTTCATACACTAAACAATATTTATAAGATACTCATTTTGATTATTTCATGTCTCAAGGAGAGAAAGGCATTCAGCCAGATGGTTAAATACACCAGAAGATTCCTGCTCTCATTTCCCTAATTTGAGAGATATACAGCAGTTTATACTTCCAGTATAAATTCTAGATAAAAAAATACATCATTTGCTTAAACATTAAACATTAAGGATGACCTACAAGTGAAAAATGAAATAAAATAACGTTGTTGCTAAGTTAATACTCTCTTAAAATGTTACTTGGCTATATGAAAACTGTTAAACTTCCTTGTTAAAAACTAACTTAAAATAACTCAGTTATTTGGCAAGCCTTCCCCCTCCCCTTACCCTTCATTCTTCCTTCTTTTCCTCCTTCTTTCCCTCTCCCTCCTTCTCTCCCTCCCTCCCTCCTTTCTTTTTTTCTCTTTCTTCCTGTCATAGTGTATTAGAGAGCATGTACTGATAGACATCATTAATAACAATAATAATCATTGAGGAACATGGATGATATAAGCTAATAAAGGTAATAAAGCAAATGCTATACAGAATCCTTTACTCTGTACAAGTTATTACATTCTTGACCCAGATACTACGAACAATGACCACTGCATTGCAGAAACTGAAATGAGTAAAATGAGAGTAAATTTTCTTCACTAAAAATTGCAAATTTCAGAGAAACAAACGAAAAGCATGCGCACAAAATGTGCAGTACATCACAAATGAGACAGGTTTGTAGTGATAATTTGGTGAACTCTCTCTTCCAGCTGACGCTTACTTCTTTTGTCTGTAAAATAACAAAAGAAGGTTCCTAGATCAACCGCTTTCCTAGTTCCTTGATGTAAGCATAGGAAAATAACTTGTCTTTTAAGAAAAATGCAAGCTCAAAGTTTTTTAAGTCAAATGAACTGGCTTTGTTGTTCTTTTTATAACAACATGGCATAAATACAAGAGCAAAGAAGTTCCATCATCATGTTAGTAAATGTAAGGACTTTGACCTCAGCGAAATAGATAACTATTCTTGGAGAAAGTGCAAAAGGAGTATGTCTGTGAAAAAAAATGAGTTTCAAACTTGAGGTGTCCTGGACACCAATAGGAGCCCTGGTGGTGTGAACAGTTAAGTACTTGGCTGCTAACCAAAAGGTTGGTAGTTCGAACCCACCCAGCAGCTTAGGCCTGGAGATCTGCTCCCACAAAGATTACAGCCTAAAAAAAACTCTATGGGGCCATTCTGGTCTGTCATCTGGGGTGGCTATGAGTCAGAATCAAGGTCACCACCAACTACAACGTGACACCAACACAGTTCAGCTTCCTCTGCTTGAGACCCTAGCTTTCCATAAATCACAAAATCCAGACACTGCCATTCTTCTCCTTGACCATTTCTGCTCACATAATCCATTAGAAAGCCAAGCTCATAAGATGTCAGCGTGGTTCATTTGTCATTCTAAGAAAGCAAGCTTACAATTCTGTAGGAGACTTTTATAAAAAGTGACAGTGATATTATTCCCTTTATAGTCACATCAGAAAACCCAGGACTGTAAACCACACATATCTAACATTTTAATTTTAGTATAAATATATATACTGTGTCACAGCTGCTTCTTAGATTAGAATCCCCATCTTCGAAAGCTTTACATTGAATACAAAATATAAATACATAATTATTTGGGGAAATATTACTTTTTTGTGAGACACACACAAAAAATGTGTTCCAGAGAAACTATGATAGTTGGTAATATCCAACCTTCATGAGCAGAATCAGCTCAGAAGCCTAAGTAGTTTGGACACAACTCAAAATTCCACTTAGCCTATTTATAATTTCCTTTCCACAGAAGACAGGAAAACAAAGAAGCAAAAAAACAAAAACCCTACTCAGGAATCTGGAAATGCCTTTATGATAGACTCATATGCAGGTGGAGGGGGCGGTGTGGAAAAGCCGATGCGAAGGCTGTTACTGGACCAGTGATAATCAGGACGGCTCAGGCTGCGGGATGTGTTGACGGCGGGAGAGGTACTGGACGAAGGGAGAGTCATCAGATGACTGTCAGTTTCCACGGGAAGTGGTGGGCATTGCAGAAAAGGATGGAAAGTAGATGCTCTGAAACTTGATTTTCTTGGAAAGGAATTTGCTTGCTCCATGGAAGCTTGTCGCTGGAACGTGAGACTGGCCAGGCTGAGGTTGCTGCGACGTTCACAGCCACTATGGCGGTAAAACCCAGTTCTGTTGAGTCCGTGGTTGTAGGAAGACCTAGGTCGCCGGCTGGTACTCCACTGCGAGATGGGAGCACTGGCTCTTCTTCGAGACAAGCAAACGAACAGGGCCCAAATCATTCCTCCAATTACAAGTCCAATGGCCATGGACACTGTGAAGGACATTATAAGATCCTCTGAAACAAAACAAAACAAAAACAGCTAAATCAGTTTTTAAAGAGATCTTCCACTAAAAAGACAGGGCGGAGTGGACACAGTCACTTCCTGAATACATGATTAACTTAAACCTACTTTGAATTAGGGACAGAGAAGATGGTACAAGGTGGGTATGAACAAATGGAAGCTGACATGCTTCTACTCATTAAGGAAAAAGGGATCAAGTGAAGTTTTCAGCTGGACCATTCCAGGTTGCTCATGCCCTTTTATAATCTTGAAGAATTTAGAAGAGTCCCACAGTTTAGCTGTTAAATTTTTCACAGTTGCAAAAGCAGTGCCAAGACGACTTCCTTTGGTTACAGTAGTAACGAATGTGCCAAACCGACAAGCAATTTCATCATCTCATCGGCCTTGCCTTTTTCTGTTTGCTGTCATCAATCCCCATGCTATCTGCCGGCTGCAGGCTTCCTGAAGCCCCGATTCCTGTGCTCATTCTGAGATAGAAAATGCTACAGGAGCACCATCTGCTGGGCTGACTGATTCATGGCCTATTTCCTGAATTCCTGGGCTGTGTCACCTATAGCTGATGCCTGATGGTATGACCTGTGCAGACAATTGGGCTCTTTCTCGGTCTCCAAGTTCCAGCTCATGCTGTATCCTCCAATTCACAGAAACTGCATTTGCTCCGAATTCTTGTTCTGGGGTGGCGGGGCAGGAAATTCTGTCTTGTTGCCTGACCTTATGAACCTAAAAATTGTACTTTTGATTGAAGCTAGATAGCTGAGCCCTTGCTGTGCACAAAAATACTGTCTGGATATTAGAGACCATTCCAGCCTCACTTCCCATCACACATTTCCCTGTCCTTCCCCTCTACCAGTGATCGAACCTGAAGCTATGTGACTTTCTCCCTATCCCAAAGCCTTCCAAGTCCTCTCATAACCCTGTGCTTTTCCATATATTTTCCCTTCTGCTTGGTTACAAGTTTTTAATCTTCTGCATCTGGAAAACTCATTCTTCAAGATCCATTTCAAATGTCACCTCTTTAACAAAGCCTTCTAAATTTCCTAGGCAAAAAAATCAGTTACTGTTAGACAGGCAAAGTTACATTATCTTAATTGCTCACTTAGAGCTACTGTATTGAGAAAGCTCTTGGACTGAAAATTAACGAAGTGAGATTGTGAGATTGGGATGGGGGGAGTCACATATTCTTTGCACTTCCTGCCATCAGGAGGCAGAATCCCAGCCCTTGGATTTGGGGTGACGTCAGGGTTTGCTACGACTAACAGAATGCTCAATTTAAGCTTTAAGAGGTCTTTCAGCTTCCACCCTTTGCTGTGGTTGGGCGCCTTGTAACTGGCAGTTTATGAACCAGCCCAGGCTAGCCTGCTGCACGAGGAAGGACCATGGCCCAGCTCCCACTAGTGCCCTGGGCAAGAGCCTACTAACCTCCAAATATATGAATGGGAACATTCTAGGTAATTCAAATGCTAGTCCATTTACTGACTGCAGACACATGGGAGAGCACAGCACAAACGAGCCAAAACCAGCAGAAAATTAACCAAACTGACCTCAGCCCAAATTGCCCATCCGTAGAATCTTGAGCAAACCAAATGATGATTGTTTTAAGTCACTATGCTTTGGGGCTCCAAATTCAACTCTGTTCATAATACATTTTGGGATTTTAGGGAATTTTTAAACTTACTGATATCATTATTTTTTAAAAGTGACAGTTGATTTTATGACTGTCAGGGTTCTTTCCAGTTTATGGTTGTAATCTATGACCATATGTAGAAAGTTGAGAGTGCAGAAACAGAACAAGTGTGTTAATAATTACAGGAGAGTAAGCATAGCTTCTTAGTTTTAGGATATATTTTGATGTTCTTCAACTTTATATTGTCACATTTGTCACCTGTGTTCAACTCTACTTGCTGTGTCCTACTTGCACAATTATCTTCACAAATACTCATACAAAAATCCTCTAGCATAGTTTATATCAAATATAAACAATACATTATTTATATAAAATATAAATAATAATAATAATAGGAAGACAACATCTAAATGATAAGATGATTTAGGACAGATCTCTTAGGTCCAGTGTTATTACTCTTCTAAAATGTGTCTCAGAAAAAAACACTGAGTTATTGCCTTAAAATTCAATCACATAAAACTTAGGCTGTATCTAGAAAAGAAGCAAATAAATATAGTAAAACCAAACCCAACCGCCTGCCGTTGAGGCAGGTCCGACTCATAGTGACCCCTCCTTGGATTTCTGAGGCAGACAGAAGCTCAATAACCCTTCTTGGTGCTAGAGTAGAATTCCAGATGAACTTGCAATTATCAGTGACCCATATAGAGAACCCAAAATTTTGCTTAAAAAATGAAGTTATAGAAATGCTGGGTTGTCAAGGAAATGATAGTTATATAAGTCAGAAATTCTCAACATTTCTTTTGAAAAAACAATAGAGAAAACAAGAACAAATAAAATTATACAAAATCTATGCCTAACTAGAAGACAAAGAACATTCAAACCTCAAGTCAATTGGAAAATGAACAAGATAAATAGATGCCAATAAATGATTTGTTATGCTTCTTTCCACAAGCCTTCATAGAAAGTACGGACAAATCTGGGAAATGGTGACAAAGGTATTCTGGTGGAAGAGCACACTACTTACAGGGAAGTGACTTACAAATGCAAGTAGGAATGTGAGCAGACAGTCTGGGAAGGTACCTCTACCCTATTTCTAAGGAAGAGGAGGGGAAGAGGCCATTCACAAAAGACCACCTAGCGTACGATTGCATTTATAGTAATTGTCCTGCACAGGTAAAACTAGAAGCAGAAAGTAGATTAGTGATTGCCCAAGGCTGGGAGGTGGGGTGAGAGAGAATGGAAGAGACTCCTAATGGACACAGGGTTTGGGGGACATGTGTGGAAATGCTCCTAAATTTTATTGTGATGTTTGCACAACTTTGTGACTATAATAAACCCAACAAACCAAACCAGTTGCTGTCCAGTCGATCTGGACTCATGGCAACCCCACATAGGTCAGAGGACAACTGTGCTCCATAAAGGTTTCAATTACTGACACCATTGCTTGGGTCAGGTGCACATCAGTCCTCAAGGTGGTGTCTTTGCTTTTGAGCACTTTAAACAGGTCTTTTGCAGCAGATTTACCAAATATGCTGTACCATTTGATTTCTTGACCGCTGTTTCCACAGGCTTTGATTGTGAATCCAAGTAAAATAAAATCCTTGACAACTGGATATTTTCTCTACTTACCATGATGTTGCTTATTTGCCCAGTTGTGATGATATTTCTTTTCTTTATGTTACACTCTATCTAATCCATACTGAAGGATACAGTCTTTGATTTTCATCAATTAGTGCTTCAAGTCCTCTTTCAGCAAGCAAGTTGTGTCATCTGCATATTGCAGTTTGTTAATGAGTCTTCCTCCAATCCTGATGCTGTGCCTCTTCTTCATATAATACAGCTTCTCAGATTATTTGCTCAGCAAACAGATTGAATACATGTGGTAAAAGAATACAACCCTGATGCACATACTTCCTTATTTAAACCATGTAGTATCACTTTGCTCTTTTTGAACAACTGCCTGCTGGTCTATATATAGGTTCCACATGAACACAATTAAGGGTTCTGGAATTCCTATTCTTCACAATGTTATTCGTAATTTGTTATGATATACACAGTCAAATGTCTTTGGTTCGTCAATAAAATACTGATATATAGATAGATAGATAGATAGGTAGATAGATATAGATATAGATATGTACATATATTCTACTTTTCTCTGTTTCTGCCCAGATCCATCTGCCATCAGCAGTGATATCCCTCCTTCCAAGTCCTCTTCTGAACCTGGAGAGAATTTGTGGCAGTTCCCTGCTGATATACTCCTTCAACAGCTTTTCAATTATCTCCTGGAAAATTTTACTTGAACATGATAATTAATCATATCATTCAATAGTTTCCACATTTTCATTGGATCACCTTTCTTTGGAATGGGCACATATATAAATCTCCTCCAGTTGGTTGGCCAACTTGCTGTCTTTCAAATTTCTTAGCATAGATGAGTGTATTCTTTCAGCATTGCATCCATTTGTTGAAACATTTTAAGGTATTCTGTCAATTCCTTGAGTCTTTTTTTTTTTTTTTTTTGCCAATGCCTTCTGTGCATCTTGGACTTCTTCCTTTTGTACCATCATTTCTTGATCATAGGCTGCCTCCTGAAATTGTTAAACATCTCACAATTCTTTTTGGTACAATGACTCTATGTATTCCTCTCATTTTCTTTTGAGGCTTTCTGCATCACTTAATATTTTTCCCAGTTAACCTTCACTGTTGCAACTCAAGGCTTGCCTTTTTTCTTTAGTTCTTTCAGTTTGAGAAATACCAAGCATGTTTCTCCATTATGGTTTTTTTGCACATTTCTTTATAATACTTCACTTTGTCTTCTGGAGTTGCCCTTTGAAATCTTCTGTTCAGCTTTTACCTCACCATGTCTTCCTTTAGCTTTAGCTAATTTACATTCAAGAGCAAATTTCAGAGTCTCTTCTGACATCCATGTTAGTCTTCTCTTTCTTTCCTGTCTTTTTAATGACCTTTTGCTTTCTTCATGTATGATATCCTTGATGTCATCTCACACCTTCTCTGGTCTTCAGTCACTGGTGTTCAATGAATCAAATACATTCTTCAGATGTTCAAATTCAGGTGGGATATAATCAAGGTCTCATTTTGGGTCTTGTGGACTTGTTTTAATTTTTGTTCAGCTTCAACCTGAACTTGCTTATGAACAGTTGATGGTCTATTCTGCAGTCAGCCCCTGGCCTTGTTCTGACTGATGATACTGAGCTACTCCATCACCTCTTTCCACAAATATATTTGATTTGATACCAGTGTATTTCATCTGATGAGGTCCAAGAATATAGTTCCCATTTATGTTGTTTCAAAAAAAGCATTTGTAACGAATAAGTCACTGCTCTTGAAAAATTCTATCATGCAATA